ATATATATAGGGTGGAATTTGTATAGAGCCAAGGCTCTAAACAATCAAATTAGAGCCCACCTTTAAATAATGTCGAGAAATATGGTTTCAATACTGGAAATCTTTGTGACAGCCTTAAAATATATTTTTATATTTAATTATAAAATTTAAAGCTTCAAAAGTAGTGTAGATTGAGCAGATCTATGAAAACTTGGAAATCTTGAAAATTGACGATCCAAAAATGAGTTACAAGATGCACTATTTCCAAAACTTGAAATCCATGTTTTTCTCATGTTCATGCATCTTGATATCAAGATGATCAATTTGAGGATATTTGGGCATCAAAACAACCTATTCTAGTGAAATTTTTGAGGTAGGATCAAACTTGCTTGTTTAGAGCCTAGGTTCTCTATAAACTTTTTTCATATATATATATATATATATGGAAGATACTACAAAATGCCTAGTGAAAATAAACAGTGATTTCGCCTATCCTCATCACCATCCAAACTTCATCGCACGATCACAGTTGTCCAGTAGTGTTTTAATTTTCATTTTTTGTCTATAAATCGGAATGATCTGAAATTTGGAACGTCTATTCATCAAAAATAAGCGAATCTATTAAAATAAAAAAAAATAAAAAAAAATTGTAAAATATAAATTGACCAAAGTATCGTAAAAAATTTAAGGGGGTATTCTGGTCAATTTATGTTTTGCGAATTATTTTTTTCACATTTTTATTAGATGTGCCTCACTAAGATGTACACACGCTCCAAATTTCAAATCATTCCGATTTGTAAAAAAAATGAAAATTGAAACACTACCAGACAACCATGACTGTGCGATGAACTTTGATGGTGATGAGTATAGGCGAAATCACTGTTCATTTTTACCTATAGGATTTGGGAAGACTTTTTCTATATATATATATATATATGCTTATTTATTAGATTTTAGTAAATAAAAAGCTCATTTGCCTGAGTATGCATTAATCTTAAGGTAAGATCATTGTTACAGGACTCGAGTTGCCCCATTTTGTATCTACAACTTGGGATACATAAAGAGAATTTAAAAAATCCCAAAAATAGTAAAAAAAATGGATTGTTTAAAAAAATTATATATAATTTACGTTTTTTCGGCAAATAATGGTGAGTTTATTTTGTCATAAGCCCCATTTTTATATTTTCCTTTTTTTTTGGATTTTTTAAATGTCCCCAACTATAAATCAATATTTTTTAATCCATTTTTTTGAACTTTTTTAAGCTTATTTGGACTTTTTAAGGTTTCTTTTGGTTTTATTTAACTTTTACTACCATCATTTTATTTTTATATTTTTTCTTATTTTTTTAAAAAAATTCTAGGTATTTGGCCCTATCAAGTACTTGGGCAAGTCCATCACTCACCCGAGTAACGCGCCTTGGCTAGGGCTAAGTACCATGCCCAAGGCAAGTTTCTATACACTTGATAAAATACGTGTGTGCATCAGCGCATGCATGCGCTTGCTGCTTCGTGCGAGTGGAAAGCATGCACACACACACGTGTAAAGCAAATATGAGAGTAAAGAGCTGGCTCAAGGAGACATTTTAAAAAGGGACTTCGGCATGCGCTTGATTGATTCCCTTTTTTTACAATTGCAAGATTCTGCCCCCAAGCCCGTGCTGACCTACCCATCGACCCCACCAAAAAAAGGAATCAAAGTGCATATATCCCCTGCCTTAACATGCCTAGAGAATTCTTCACAAAAACTTTACAATCAAAACAATAGTATTTTTTTTTTCTGGACAAGAACAACAGTGTTTAATGTCCAAGCTGGGAGTCAGCTTGAAATCAAACTTAGAATGCAGAAAACATGAAAAGAAAAAACATAAGGTGGCTTAAAAATGATGTTGTAAGAAAACAAATGAAATTAGAAGTTAGATGATAAAAAAGTCAGATCGTCATCATCATCATCATCCAAGCCTTATCCCAACTATTTGGGCTCGACTACATGAATCATATTCTTTCATTCTTCTCTCTCAAGGGTCATACCCTCAGTAAGACTAAAAGTCACCATATCTTTTCTCACTACTTCTATCCATGTCCTTTTAGGCCTTCTCCTTGTCCTTTTAGATCCTTCCACTTGAAATAAATCGCACGTCCTAACCGTTGTTGTATTACGTCAATGTTGCACATAGCTAGCCCTCCTAAGTCTATTTTCCCTCATCTTATCACTCATTGAAACCGCACCTAAGTTCTGAAGTAGGTATTCATTCCGATTTTTTTTCTTATCTTGCCACTCATCCCTCTCAACATCCTCATCTTAGCAACCCTCATCTTATAAATATGTTGTTTCTTGACTATCCAATATTCTGTTCCATAAAGCATGGTTGGTCTTACAACCGTCCTATAGAACTTCCCCTTCAGTCTCAATGGTATCCAGCAATCACTTAAAACTCTAGATGCACATCTCTACTTCGCCCACCCAGCTCTAATTTTATATGTGATACCTTCCTAAATCTCTCTATTCTCCTAGATTATCGACCCTAGATATCAGAAACAATCTCTTTTAGGTATTTCTTCACCATCAATCTTGACTACTTCCTCATTTCTACTCCTATTATTACTAAACTTGCATTCCATATATTATGTTTTAGTCCATCTAATTTTAAAACCTTTAGATTCTAGAGCAGCCCTCCAACGTTCTAACTTTGCATTGACACTGCCTCTAGTCTCGTCGATCAAAACTATGTCATTAGCGAACAACATATACCACGGTACCTCACCTTGTAGGTGCCAGGTTAACTTGTCCATGACCAAGACAGAGATATGGGCTCAGTGCTGACCCCTAATGTAGGCCCATTGTCACTACTCACTTGTCTCTCTGCTAATTGCTCACACACTAGTTAGCGCTCTCTTGTACATATCTCTCGCTATGTCAATATAGCCTCTCGTGACTCATTTCTTTTCCAACACCCACAAAATTAAATCTCTAGGTATCCTATCGTATGCCTTCTCTAAATCAATGAAGACCATATGGAGGTCTTTTTCCTTCACCCAGAACTTCTTAATCAGTTGCTTAAGTAGGAAAACGATGGAAAAAGAGTCATATATGAAGGGAATTTTGGTCAAGGTGTAATACATTTGTGTGCACAAAGAGATAAAATATGGAATATGACAATCGATATTAGCAAAAAAAAATCAAAAGATATAAAAATGGCTTATCACAATAAGAAAGGTATGATGACAAAGGAAAATGATTAATTGGGGATAATAGAATTATTCACCTGAATTTTTATTGGCCTGCCAGTGTAACCAGTAACCAAATTGACATCTTCCATGTAGTTGTTTGTAGCGGACCGGATATAAATGCGATCCATGTCAGTGATATAACTGCAAAACATGAATTGATAAAAAGAATTAGATATAAAAGATAACCATCAATGCCAATCTATAACAACAACATTAGAAACTGCAATATATATTTTTGAGAAATAAAAATAATAATAATATTCAAGATTTGTATCTAGTAAGGACATCAAGCCTTAAACCAACCCAATAAAGGGTGACTCATCTGGTTCCATCACCATGCCTACACTGATCTGCACAACCTTACCAACTGCCTCTTGCATCATGAGTTTTTGCGTGAGACAGGAATATAGGCTACAGAATTTCGGTTCATCATTTAGGTTACAAGTTTGAACCTGAAAAATGAAAAAGTTAAAAAGAAAAAAAAAAGTGTGGAATGGAGTTTGAAAGGAAAAAGATGCACGCAAAAACAGAAAAAAAAGGAGCTAAAAGGAAAAGCTGGCAATCCAAAAATGTCAAAGATAAAATCAGTTATCAACATAAAAAATCACATTCACATACAGGTTCATGGGGCTGGGACCCATGAAGAATGTAATCGTCTCCATCAGCTCCAACTGCAACTAGATAAAAAGAATCTGAAATCTGAAAAATCACAAAGTGTAAACAAATGGAAACGAGTGTTTTCAGATTTATTATAATTCGCAAGCCGATAACATCAACCTGGTCATTTTGGTCGAGTTCATATCCACAAGAGATTCGATCAAGGTCTGGTCCCGCAATATCCACCAAAACCACCTGCTTCTCTTCTAAACATGAAATATGTTCCCACTCATTGCAATGGATATGCATACTATCGTGCCGATTTCTCCATAACCAAACTTGACCTGAACCTGTGATTGCCACAAGATGGTGTTGGCTTGCCTGCAATAGAAGTAGCAGGATTAGATGTTATATGCATCCTACTAATGTTCCATGAAACAAAAAAAGTGAAGAAATATTCAACATGCAAGTTTAAGCATTGGAGTTTTAAGCTTGCAAAAGTCCACCTAAGCTCACCACATATGATGCAAATAAAGTTCAACAGAGAAAGCGGTGATGATGGTATCCAATGGCTAAGACAAATGCCATATGCAGTTTATGCTATATTCCCTCAGGACCTCCAAAATCAGGTCTAACTCTCTTACAATAAAGACATTGCCATTATAGAAGAGTTCCTACAGAATGAAATGTTCCATAGCACCCCAGAAGACTTAAAAAGGAAGCCCTCCTTCCTATGAGGGCTAGCTGCGTATTGTTCTAATTGCTGGTTGTCATATGTTATCCAATCATCTATGTTATAATTACAAGAACATCAGGCATTAGGAAACAATATCAAAACATCACAACAGCATATTCTAAGATGGCTCGAGTAACCTACGTTAAATATGTAGCAAGCTAACCAATGACACTGAAGAACCATAGTTCACCATAGTAAAGCTAGCCGTGACCCTCACATTTATCGCATTATCATAACCATGTTCTGTCTGGTTTGGACCCTTTAACTGTGTTCTGACCCAAAAGAAATCCAGATTGTCCATAAGGCAATTTTGTAAAGTTTTTCGGTTAAGTTCACCGAATCAGTCTGTATTACATCGAATATCATCAGCTAAAAATCCTGTAACATATTTAACCAACCCAATAGCCATTTGCATACTCTAACCATCACCTTGCCCTATTTGGTTCATGGTACGCACCCAGCAAGCTATATGAAGAGTTTAGTTGCATAGAAGTGATATGAGCAAAGTCATCAAATATTCCAAATTCAGGCATAGTCTTCTTTGTGTGTACTTCGACCACAAATATTGAGTTTCATCATATGCTAAGGCAATATCAATGCCTAAAAAAACTAATATAAATTGGATAAGGCAATAAGCATAAAGAAATACATCCAATCAGCACTTGGAACCCAGATGTTGCAAAGGTTAATTATCAAAAATAAAACGAGGAATAAAAAGGTCATAAGACTGCGGATTGCAGAGATTGCCCACTCTCTTTTCTAAACATAATTGTTTATAGATGGATATCCAAAAGAGTGTGATGCTTTGAGATTTCTCTAGGCAAAGTTATAGCCATATAGCTTTCTTCCAGATTTTATCAAACATTCATATTTTAGAAATCCTTGAGAAACACCCCTCTGAATACTCAGTTGCTTGTGTTAATCCATAATTCAAAGTTTCTTTCAAATCTTTATTTAAAATAATCAATACATGTAATTTTGTGTACAGCACCTATTAGGAGGTGCGAGTTAGTTTAAGTGGAAGGCTCAAAAAGGACAAGGGGTAGGTAGGCCCCAAAGGACATGAATGAAAATAGGAAGAAAAGATATGAGGACTTATAGCCTCACTAAAGGTATGGCCCTTAATAGAGCAGAATGGCGGACCGGGATTCGTGTAGCCAGCCCCCAATTAGTTGGAAAAAAGGCTCTGATGATGATGATGATAAGGACATGTATTTTTGTATCAAGGAAAAACAATTCAAATTGAGGAAATCAAGCACAAGCTAAACCCTATTCTTAAAAGGATTCTCAATAACGCCCACAGAGAATATTGGTGCTATAAAGCACCACAACTATAAGTGCCAACATTTTTAATAGAGCTTTATTGTGTTCCTGTGCATATCCAAATTATGTTAGGTCCCATTTGGAGGGTCCAAAAATTCCATTAAGGAACAGGGTTATTAGGAAAAAAAGGTGAAAAAGCAGAAAAAACACTTCCTCTTTTTCTTTTCTTTTCTTTTCTTTTTTTTTTTCTTTTTTTTCCTTTTTTTCCTTTTTTTATACAGGGAGGGGAGCTTCTTGTACTGTACTCATAATAGAAAGGGCTCACCCTTGAATACCATTGCTGGCTGAGCAAATTTTCTTCCACAATCCTAATTGAACAAGAGAGTAAACTCACTTGTTAATAAATGGTCAGTCCAAATGGGGCCTGTGATAATCCTGGGCAATTGATCTCATGCCCTTGAATAGCATGGCAAGCCAAGCTATTTGTCTTCTACACTCCTATATGGGTAGGGGACTAACCAAATTATTAATAAATGGTCCATCCAAGTGGTGGCTTAGTGGTAATCCTGGGTAATTGATGTTTTCTTATTTTATCTGCACTGGCACCAAAGCCAGTTTTGGAAGCTCAAAGGGAGTTGAAAATAGATTCAGGGAATCAAATGACCCGTATACCACCAAGTCTAAGGAGCCTACCATGTCAGAAACTCCAAATCCACCAATTATTAGATGCATTGATCACTATTCTCTTACACGTGCTAAAAGGTATGAGTTTCCAAAGTATCAGCAATAGCTAGCTACAAATTTGGATTATACTAAATGTTTTTTAACTAGATATAATGTTCAAGAAACATATATTGCTTGTTATCAATAAAACAAGAAAAAGAAAAGATATTCTTTTGTAGTCATTACGCAACTTTTTTTCTATTGATAGTTGTGTTGGAGACGGTCCAAAAGAAAAAGATCCATTAAGACCCAAGCAGTGTTATGTTTTAGTTAATTTTTTAAAAATTTATAAGTGCAACTCATTCACTTCACAGAAGAACCCTCAAGTGTACTGACTAAAAAGGTAGGCACCAGAGCCACCAAGGTGGTTGTTAAGTTAATGGTCAGAGAATTGTTTTCACTATGAATAAAAGTTATCCAGAAGCTTGACAAAATCTCATACAAAGTCCTATATAGTTAAAATAGAAACATGTAACATACTGCTAGCTGAAGTATAGGCAAGCAAGTAGGCAGCAATTCTTCAGCTTGGAGCCTTGGACAGTTTGATTTGTCAAATCCAGACACCTCTCCCCAACAGAAATATTCAATATTTTCAGCATCTGCAAGTGAAGCAAAACAAACTGCAGCCAGCGCACAAGGGGAAGATGTGATATGAGCAGACTCGCATGGTGTTCTTGCAGGTTCAATAAACAAATCTTTAACTTGTGACCCATGATCACTTTCTTCCCCTAAGAAGCTGAAAAAGGATTCACAATATGACAAATGTCACTCAAAAGATATATGAACAAATTTCTAATCTCACAATAATCATCTACGACCCATAATTTGCTACTTCTACACTACATCATAATTCTTAAATCCAAATCCACGAAAGATGAACAAACGGTATAAACTGGGGGAGGGGGGGGGCACATGAGTCTCGAGTGGCACCAAGTAGATAGAATATCTTTAGATATATATGTCCCCATAATTTTGAAAACAAATGATTCAAGAGATCCACAAGTCCCAGCTCGCATGTTGAGACAATTGTAAGTTATAAGGTGTCTATGTTAATCTTTTTTTGCTGACACCCTTGACTGGTCTCCTTTAAATGTTTTCTCCAAGCTAGAACACTCTGTGCTAAAACATGCAACGATAAACATTAGGGGGCCTTCTATCTAGCAATTTCATTAAGATAATTTTATCATAATAATCATAATGCCATAACATAATTTCATGTTTATAAGCATATGTAAATTTTTTTAGGAAATCCATATATTTAATTTTCCACTAAAGGAAATCAGTATATTGAGAAAACTATCTTGGTGTTAACTTGCAGACTGTGAGATGTGAACTAAGCTGGATCCCACATTTTTATATTAAAGACCCCGAAGCCCAAAAAAAAAATTGTCGAGTTTGCAAGGAACAGAAAGAATAAAATTATGAGTTAAAAATTATTTGCTAATTGTCCAGTTTGTCACTGTGTGCACGATATTACATGGACAAGCTAGTCAGGGCCGAGAATGCTTTGGACTAGCAAGTTTGGCATCTTCACGGATGAATTTTCTCGGTCACTATTCATGTCCACAAATAAAACAATCACTGATTTGATACCCAATTAACTAGGACAAACAGTTAAAGGAACACACACAAACACGCATATACACCCATACAATACATGCATGTATGCACATAAATACAAACATACATTTGATGTGTGTGTGTGTGTTAAATATGTGTGCTTCTGCACATGTACATGCATGCAAGTTTCAGCAGGACAACAAGGAGGAGAGCAAAACTACCATACATTACAAATATTGTAACATAAAGGTTGATCATTCCAGCATGAATTAATTTCTCACGGACCTGATGGGCTTCTGTAGGTCATTTGAGTTGGCATCACCATCATGCGAAAGCAAAGCATGTTTAGCAGCAGTGTCTGATGTTGTTTCACTTATTACTTTCACAAATTCAGCTTGTCTCCAAGCACAAATAGCATTTTTGGATAGGAAGCATTTTTGCTCGTTGGGTATGATTGCTGATTCTAGTTCACTCCATTTGAGTTTCTCCAAGTCACCATCTTCATATCGTACCTAAGGGATACTCGGAGTATGAAAAAATCTAGCACATTTATAAATGAAAGAATTCAAAAGCTACAAAGAAATTATAAAAGCAGGAAAGCGTGAAACTCAAGCATCTACTTTTGGAAGATCCCTATTGGAATCCTACCGTATAAAAGCTTGTTATACAATCATAGTCAATGATATAACCATCATAAGACTGCCCACAGAAGTCTCTTCTTATCTTCCGCCCAACAAGGCTCAGTCCTCTTTTATGCAGCAGTGCATTTCTAGAACTGCTACACTCTGAACCATCTGCGAGTTTACAACCAAAACTTACCCAAAATGAACTACTGATAGATTTTGAAGCAGTTGACAGGGGTCTAGAGTGAATGATACTTGGTACACACCATTGGTTTTAAACCTCTCATGCCCTGTGCCAGTCGATAATGTGTTCTTGTTTCCTTCATAACACGATATTCTTGAGCTGACAATGGCTTTCTCTTCTCTAATTCTTTGCATTCTTTTACGTTTCGTTTCTGCAGCTCTTTTCTTGGCAGCCATGGCCGGACTGGAAATACTATCATCATATATTGGAGAGGAAAAGGTTTGATCATCAGTGGGCAACTTATGTTCTTCAATTTCTCTATAATCTGGGAAAGACTGGTCCTTCTCTGAACTTATTCCATTAATTCCATTTGTTGATTGTGATGCTTCAGAGTCAGACGAACTTGCTCTTTTGAACCGTTGTCAACAGGATCCATCAAAATGACAAGAAAAAAAATTTATAAAAAAGTAGCATAAAGACTATATCCAAAATATGTTCTTTTTCTCTATACATAACAACCAATATATTTTGAAATTTTTTATTAACATTTCCTTTTCAGCATAATCCAAATTTATGCTTACAAGTTATTTCCTTATCCTCTGGAAACAACATACCTCTTTGCCCGTGTAAGAGAAAAGAGTGATCGACGATTCCTAGACTTGGTGGATTTCACCATAATAGGTTCGAGTTCAGACCACTCCAAATCTTCCTCATCACCATCTTCATACTGTACCTTCAGCAGCCCCAGAAGACATGCATATGTGAAGATCCAAGACATGATTGTTAAGCATCTAATAAATACAGACTACTCTCAAGTAAATCTTAACCTTGTACCAATCGTAGATAGAATCAAAAGAAAGAACTTTCCCCATAAATGTTGCACCCCCAAATTTCTTACTAACTTTCCTACCAACCAGCAGGTCCCCATCACCATAAAATCTAAAGCTTTTAACACCCTGCAGTACAAGAAAGCACCAATATACAAATTCCAATGTTCAACTCACACTAATACTACTTGCAAACCCAAAAAAAAAAAGTAATCATCATAAAAACATTAACAAACAGAAACAGAAATGCATACATCATGGGAACCAGGTGTTTCGACGAGTCCAATGTCCCCTCCAGCCGAGGCACCTGTTAGGCAACATTATAATAGTTTAATATGATATGGTCCAAAATCCAAATGGGAACAACAGAAGCTAGTGCACCACTAAAGATGTTATCTTGTAGACAGGGCGGACACTAAAGCAAAGATTAAAAATGATGGCTTGGATGGGAGTGGAGTTCACCAAGCATCCAAAACTAGTGTCCAAGAGTGAGCCCCCACCACCCCCCATATGGAGAAGTATGAAGAAGCCAAGGGACCCACAGCCTGCTAGTTTTGGGTGTCATAAGGAACAATGCTGGTGTGGTTTCAACATTCCATGCCAAACTTTGGCATCAAAGACTCCAGATGAGTTGAAGCAATTGCTTTGTTGATGGACATGCAAATTTTGACTAGAAATTTGATGGACTAACAATTATTGATAGTAATTCCTTGACTATTATGTGGTGGCTTAGAGGGGACTCTGTAGTTCCAGGGAAGCTGGGAGATATCTTTGCAAAACATACATAGACCATCATCATTTTTTTTAACTTCAATGCCAATTATATATTTAGGAAAACAAACAAGGTGGCTAATAGATTATTGAATATGAGCTGATCCCGCATAGCAAGGGACTACGGAGGACAATGCACATTATTGGTTTGTTTCTCGAGTTTTGACATTCATAATTATTCTTTTCACTGATAGAGTAATCACCTAAATAAAATTAGTTAATCATTATTAGCGTACAACTTCTTGAATTTGAGTCTGGTAATTTTGTTTTGATGTTGTATCTTTTTTAATTTTGAAAAGATACAAGTTTATAAACCTAAGTAAAATGGTCTACTATTTCACAGATAATATGAATGAAAAGATGATTCAGTGATTAAATTGCATTTAGTGGATTTGACATTTATTCTTGTGGGTTATTGACCTTCTTAAGCCAAAACCTAGCCACTTGTAAACTAAAATTCACATTTTCATGTTAGATTCCACCATCTTTTGGTCTGAATTCAGCTGCATATTTAAAAGCATTTCTTAGTTCATATTTCAGACCAAATCTGGTATCTCAGCCACGATTTCATTCAAAGACCTTGGTGACAACTAATACAACACCTACAAACCTATTTATTTATCCAGGTTATATTGGTAATTCTAAGGAAAGGAACAGAGCATTTGGAATTGGGAATGTCTATATATAAAACACGTGTGCACATACACACTCACACAGTTGTTAATCTGAGGTTACCAGTAAGCTTGGTGGAAGGTGTTGCCTTTACTGGATTATTATGAACATCTGCAGGTAGACCTAACACAAATTCCCTCCTCAGAAACTTATGTCCTTGTCCAGTTTCCTTCACAAAGTTGTTGTCCATTAGTCCCTGAGCTGACAGAAGACACAATATCAGAAGCTCCACTTTTACATTTTTGAATGCTCCCTTAAAACAGTAAATATATTGAATCTGGGAAGTGGAAACAAATACGTTTATGAGGGTTCAGTTTAGCCCAATGCGTCAACAGCATCGGACACACAGGGAGACGGTTAATACATAATGCCTTTTTCCAATGATTTCAGCCACTATATGATACTTTTGGAGTGTCCATTATATTGCACAGAAGAAAAATTACACCGGGCATGCACTCCAAAAATATAATCCCAAATCCAAAATAAGAAAGTGTCGGTGTTTGAATACTACTTAGACTCTCAAAATCTAATATGGAAGGAACAAAGGGACGTATTTAAATGCATGAGTTCTGGAGTTCCTTTTGCATGATGTGGTCATTTATCTGCAATCATATTTATGCACCCCCAAAGAAAGAGTTGATGAGCAAAAATATAAACCTGCCATGGAAATGGCCCGCTTGTGTGCTTATTCCCAGCATTCCTATTTTCATGGCCGAAAATCTACTCTTAATATGACCCAACCAATTACATTATAAAGAAAATAAAAAAGTTGTTCTACACTATAGCCAAAGAAGAATCGATTGATGTGCTTACAAAATCAACTATTCAATATCTCAATAACCACATTATAAAGACTTGAGTACGTGGTCGAATGAATCTTGCCTACTCATGTCGTGTAATTAGCCGAAGGAAAAATGTGAAGGTGCTCACAAAATCAACATCTCCTACACTACATCTCACCGACCACATTACTGAAGACTTCAATTGCTTTTTTGTGTTCATTTCTGTCTTGCCTGATCATTTGACATGCTCATTCCCTCATAACTCTTTTGTTTGCTTTTTTAATATGCCAGATGGTGAATGTTATGATCCCATTAGATGTTAAAAATTTTTGAGTGCCGACGATCTCATGCTAATTGAATGTGTTTGTGTCAAGACAATTAAATGCATGCAAATAATCACAGTGTGTATAACTAACAAAAAAAGAAAAAAGAAACCACAGTAATCACAGATGAACAATGTGCAATCAATAACTTTTTAACAAAGCAAATGACAATTTGACAGTGAAAACATAATGACAAAACCTATAATTTATTCACTGAACTCATATTGCACGGCTCCTTGCATCCGATCATAAAAACAAGCATTTCCCCATGGTATTAAAAATTAAAAAGATGGTAATTTAGCAACTAAAGCACAACGCTGGTGAAGGTATCAAATTATCAATTAAATTACTAATCAAAATACCTGTGTTATAAGACAATTTTGTTATTGTTATCCCTTATCTTTGGCATTGTTTGTTTTTTTCTGATAATTTGTATTTAAGGTACTTCTGCTTCAAGATCCAGTAAATTCCATTGAAAGTAAACAGAATTTGGAGAAAAATTGCATGTGTTGTTATTTCGAACCTATTTCTGTGAAATTCTTCAAAAAAAACCCTCTGATTAATTCTTTGGAAACATATTCTTTGAAAACATAAAACAGAGACAAAATCATGAAATTCCAGGTATATGAGAAATTAATATGCAGAAAAAATGAATTCATATGACAAAAAAAAAAAAACGAGTACCTTCAAATGTGAAGAGAAAGAAGTGACTTCGCATGAAAAATTGGATCCGTAAACTGCATTTCGTACACTCGGTAGAATACGGCGGGGGTTAGGTGGACGGTTTTGATATTCTATCGGCGAACGTAACTTCCAATCGTGGCCGTCCATTTGGGAGGGAAAGCTAAGGGGAACAAGTTGACTGAATAAATTACTTTCAAATACGCACGAACACAAATTATATTCAGATATGGCCGTTATACCGCTATGTATATACCAAAGAAAATTGTCTCATGCGGGCCGGACCGCATTTCTACATATGCGGTCCAAGTAGATATTCCATCCGGAAACTAATTGTCCAAATGTTTTTTACTAGAATTATTATTTCTAGTTTTAAATTTTTATTTATTTTTTCATATTCATGACGTTAGATATTATATATCTTTAAACATTAAGTCTTAAAATCCATCACAAAAATATATTTATTAAGAGGTCCGTATTTCTAAATATGGAGGCTTAGCCTCATAGAAACCGGGTCCATGTACAAAAGTGATGATTTGAATATTCCAATTACTTAACACGAGCCTAAGCATGAGTGGTGTAATATCCTTTTTATCTTTTTCTTTTTTTTTCCCTCTAATATGTTAATGATGGGAATGGAGGGTGAGACTCCCCATTCCCAAGTAAATTCCTTTTTGCCGGCAAACGTCTAAGAAGGTCATTTATTATAAAATACAGTTTCTATGAGTCCATGTAGAAATGAATCACCTCTTAAAAATTTATTTTTGAAATGGAATTTCCGGACTTAATGTTTAAGACATATAATCTCTAACATGGAGATAATGAATATGAAAAATAAATAATTTTAAAAATTAAAATAATAATTCTATTAAGAAAACATTTGGACTGTTAGTTTTTTAATTGTTTTTAGATGGACCACCTATTTGTATCTATCTTTAAGATGGATGTTTTATACCTTGGGACCACATATTGTAGAAATGTTGTCCAACATGAAACAATTTTCCTTTATTATAGGGTGTGGTTTGTATAAGGCTCGAGGTTCTAAACAAACAAATCAAGGCGCACCTTCAAATAGTGTCGAAAGATGTTGTTTTAATACTGGAAATCTTTGGGATGACTTGAAAATCTATCTTTATCTCTAATTATAAAATATAAAGCTTTAGAAATAGTGTAGATTGAGCTGATCTATGAACACTTGAAAATCTTGAAAATTGACAGTCCAACAAATGCATTACAGGATGTACTAATTCAAATATTTAAAATCTATTTTTTTTCATGTCCATACATCTTGAGGTCAAGATTATCGATTTGGGAATTTTTGAGCATCAAAACAACATATTCTACTAAATTTTGATATGCGCCTTAATTTGATTGTTTAGGGCCTTGTCCTTATATAAACTTTTTCCTTTACTATAATAACATTTTTGGGACTTCTTTTATTTGGATCAAGCAAATTGCGCATCCCACCTAACGCCAAATCACCAACTCCAAAAATATCAATCTCATACTTAAGACTTGCTTTGTTCTAGAAATAAATTAACCTGCTTGGGCTCATTTTACCTACTCTACTAAAAAATGTATTATTATTTACCATGTCAATTATTTCTAGAGTGACTTATGAGAACTTAGATGTATGTCTAGGTAAAATCAAAGATCATTTATCGTTTGTATATGAAGATAATAATCATTCCTGCTCATTAGATGTTAAATTGGGAGGAAAAAGAAAAATCCAGTGGAACTTGGAGTTTCTCCAGACAGTTTCAGAAAAAAAAAAAAAAAGATATGAGTGTAAAATTCAAAATATATGGGATATTTTATAGGGTGTAGTTTGTATAACGTTGGGGCTCTAAACAATCAAACTAAAGCGCACCTTCAAATAGTGTCAAAATATGTTGTTTCCATACTAGAAATCTTTGTAATGTCCTAAAGATTTATTTTTATATCTAATTATAAAATTTGAAGCTTCAAAAATAGTGTTAAAATTTCAAGATATATGAACACTTGAAAATCTTGAAAATTGACGGTCTAAACAATGTATTACGTGATGCACTATTTTCAAGCTTTGAAATTCATTTTTTCTCATGTCCATGCCTCGTAAGGTCGAGTCCATCGATTTGATGGTTTTTTGGCATCAAAACAACCTCTTCTAATTTTGAGGTGCACTTTAATTTAGTTGTTTAGGGCCTTACCCTTATATAAAATTTTTCCAATTTTATAAGTATTGCAAAAAGAAAGAGGTATTTACTATTTCCTATATTGAAATAAATACTATTTTAAAACAACCTACAATACTTTTTACACAAAAATATCAACAAAGAAATAGGTATTTAGTAAAGTTTCCAATATTGAAATAAATACTATTTTGAAAGAACCTACAATACTTTTTACACAAAAATATCAACACTTTTTAAGTAACCACTTTACAAATAAATTGCTTTATCTCACCACTTCGCGGGGAGTCTTAGGTTGTTTAACCATGTTAATGATAATTTATTGAGCAACAGTGATGATTTTGATTATATGTTCTCAATAATTTTAGTCATATTGCAATAGATGAGCACCTTCCTAATTTTTACACCTTTCCCGTTCTCTCTTTCATACACGAACATAGCCATAACCATTTTTAAATCTTACGATAATTCAGCTTTGTTAGGGTACTCCTCCTCATAGAATATTTCCTTTACCTACTCAGCGTGTTTGTTTTTTTTTTTTTTTGGTAAATTAATGGGGATTTGGGCCCTTACCATTTTTCATCAATAGGGGAAGAAAAAAAAAGAATACAAAGATTATGTTATAGTGTTTTTATATTTAGTTCTGGCCATATCATGAGCGACGATAGAAAAGAGAAAATCTGGTGGTCGGGCTCACCAAAACGTGGCAATCGGACACCATGGTGGCCTCATGATAGACATGTGAAATGCTGCAAGAGCGACTAACAAGGTGGTAAGCACAATTGGATCCAAAAGTATGAATAACCTACTCAACCTATTTTTTTTTGGTAAGTCCATGGGGAAGAAGCCCCCTACTCGTTTTTCTTTATTAATAAACAATAAGAATACAAGTCATTATTTAATAAACAATAAGGATACAAGTCCGGCGGTCGAGAGCGCCAAAGGGTAGCTTCAAAACTCAAAGATGCTTTCTTAGTAGGAGCATCGATTACCATGTTAGCCTCACGATAAATGTGAAAAATTAACTATATGCGAGTGGAAAGTCTGCTCCAACAATTAACTACAACTGTATATAACCTCCATGGGGTACACAACGATCATGAATGACAATTACCAATAAGGAATAATCGCTTTCAACTTGTAGAGGACAACAATTCATCTAGATGGAGACCTTCTTCAAGAGCAAAAAACTCTGCATAATTGTTTGAGGCATTGTCAAATGGCTAAGCAAATACAGCAACAAAATTACCATTATTGTCTCTGATAACACCACCACGACCTAATCCTGAATTTTGCAAGTAAGCTCTATCAATATTCAACTTGAAATGGTGGAGTTATGGGAATGACCATGCAACCGAAAAAATGGATCTCGGTTCTTGCTGTCACCATGTAATCTATAAATTTTCAATGATTGCTCTCTCTGATAAATGAAAAGCCCATTTATTTGTGTCTGCCAACTCCTTGAAATAACGTTGAATAATTTGTTCCCTTCTTGTAGACTTTTGCTCAATGATTATCCTATTGCACGAACCAAATTGTTGTGATGAAGATAGAAATCCAAATATTTAGGAAACCATTCACTTTAAATCTGAAGCTTGACCATCTTTTCAACATATCAAGAGCAGAAATACCAGGGGTGAAACGCTTGCCACACCGTCATGCGCCCGACCTCCATTGCGAGAACACACAGTGAAACAATAGATGACAAATGTTGTCATCACTATTCTTACAAAAAGGCATACAAAATTCAGATTAACACCGCTGCAAAAACAGGTTGCGATAATCATTTAGCTCGAATAAAATCACAAACCTCCTTAATTGAAAATAGACCACTAGCAGAGCGAATCCAGACTAATAAATCATTTCAAGGCTGTAAAAATATAGTGCAACTCTCAACCTTCCTTCATATATTGATAAGAGGAGTTGATGTGGTTGAAGGAATAACTCAAGATTGTGATTAGCCTTCTATATAATCTGAAACCTTCCTCCCAACGAATCCCCAAAATCTTTATGTGTATTGCTACCATAGGAGTCCCATATAGATTGACTTGATAACCAGGGATCTGCCAAAAATTCACGAGCTAATCATTTTCAATAATCCATTGAACAATATCATTCAAATGAGATAAACCCAATATAATGCTATTCCAATCATAAGAGATCATCTTGACCTCCTATATAGAAGTATTATTGAAATATTTGTGTTTAAAAAATCGAGCTAAGAGAGACGAGGGATCTGCCAAGATTTTCCAAGCCAACTTCATCATTCATTCAGTATTAAAATCAACAATATTGCATACCCCTAACCCCCCGCTTTGTGAGGAAGGTAAACTATCTTCCATTTGACAATGTGAATACCTTTTTTAATCTGCCACACATTCCCATAGGAAATTCCTGTGTAGCCTTTTAATCATCTTACAAGTTTGTTTCCATATAATAAAAGATAGCATCCATAAAATACATGAGGCGCTAAGTACTGATTTTAACAGCTGTAAATGACCCGCGTAAGATAAACAAAAAGCATACCATGTATCAATCTTACCAATAACCTGTCCAACTAGATTGTGACAATAATTGTGTGTTACAATAAGACTATTTATATCTCAACATGCTTGACACTTAATGCTTTTACTTCACAATATAATAACTTTTGTCTAAGAGTATTTTAGGCAATCAATGAATGATAAAATATAAATTTTGTGGAAAAAACTACATTTACAACTATGGAGATGAATGATATGACCCACATATAGCATCACTTACTTTCTCATAAATAATAGAATGCCACTAGTTATTGAAATATCTATTATGCCA